AAAAAAAAAAAAAAATAAGAAGAAAAAAGAATTTTTCTTATTGTTCAGTTTGAATAGATTGAAATCAAAATTGATGCTTATGTGTTTTTCTTTTGATTTGAAAAGCAATTTTGCATTTATATTGTTGCACATCTGATCAAAACCGACAGGTTGTAATTTAAAATAAGCAAAAAAAAATCTTTTTTTTTTTTTGCCAATTACAATTAAAAAACAATTTCCTACTTGTAGTTCTTTTTTTTTTTTTGGTTTTTTTTCACCAAGTTACCTTTATTATTTCTTTTGCTTAAGGTGTAAAAAATTATTATTAAAGTAGATTATTTTTAAGCAAATTAATGGTTTTATACAATTGCTAAATTAGTACTATCAAATCTTATATACTTATGCTGTTATGCAATTATTTGCTTATTAATTCGAACAGCAATAATTTTGGTTTTCAATTTTACTATAGACAAGGAAACAAAGTTTGTAAGCAGTACTACCAAAGAAAATTTATCTTCAGCAGTTTGAAAAAAAAGAAAACTAAGAACATAATTTTTACTAAGATTAGATAATCTTTTACAACTAAAATTAATTCAAGAAACATAATTTATCTCTGCAAAAAAAAAATCGTCTTTTAATTTTTGATTTATTTTGATGCTACCACCTCTGAACTTTAATCCTTTCATTTGTCTGCTTTTTGCAGCTTTCAGCGTACATCAAGAAGGAAATACGTCAGAAAGAAGTATACCAGATATATATTGCTAATTATATAAAGCATAAACTAAAGCTTTATTTCTTCCTCTTTTTGGTAAAACTTACCAAAAAATAAAATTATTGACTGAAAAAAAAAACACTGTATTTTATGTTAGACAAAAGTTCAGAAGAACTCTGTTTAGTATTAGTAATAATTTGGTTAATAAATAATAAAGAAATAAAATTGTTGTAAAGTTTTTTTAAAAGTAAATCGAAGACAAAATGAGTCAGTTATTCGAAAGAAAGATAAAGTCAACAAATCAATTCTCTTTACCACCAGTCAATAGGCTTAAATGATTTTGTCTCTAAGGTCGGTTATGTTTTACCACAGAATACCGGCAGAATATCGCAGTTAAGGAGCCAAATATTGGGTATCTGCTAAGTGCCAATTAACAAGTGCTGTAGTTTTAGCTTAAACTTTTTTTATCTATTTTGTCATTTAGCTGCAGTAATCGTGAATCATAGAAAAACGTAGAAAAGAAATTGACTTAGTCTTAAACCAAATTCAATTTTTTTTCTCTTTTTTAATACCTATTCATATAAATTAATTCATAACTAGATAACCTCAGAGAAACTTCAAATAATCAAAACAAATAGTTGAGCGAAAAATGAACAAAAAAATGACAGAAACCAATTCTAGTTTGGCCGATAGTTCAAATAGCATATGCAACATATCGGCATTTGCTAAATGGAAGTAAAGGTGATGAGAAAATGTGGCTAAACTCTATTTGGTGTCACTGCAAAAAAGAATCACAAATACGAGCAGCTCTAAAGGCCAAAAAAAGTTTTTTTTTTTTTTTTTTTTTCTGTAAATTAGGCAGTCACTGACCTCTGAATAGCTGTTACCATACCATCACTATTCTCATCAATAACAGCTACAAATATTTTTTGGTTTTATAAAAAAAAAATAAATTTTCTGAAAAAAAACTTACTTTTTTTCTGTATAATGAACTTGTGCATTAGCCTAAGCAGCCTAAGTGATTTAAAAGTCTTTTTTTCCTGGTTTTATAATTACAACGAAATCGTAATAGATATTTTAACAAATTTTATTTCATTATATTCTAAAAGAAAAATTTTTAAGCATTATAGTTGGCTTTACAAACGTTGTATCATATTTGTACAGGATAAGAACAAATCATTATGTAAAATTTTTTAATACT